TTTAAAATAATTTTTTTCTTAATTTTTATAAAATAAAAAAATAAATATTATTTTTATCATATAATACAATACAATTCATACTATATAATTTCTTTTTTAAATTGTGAGCTGACACGCTTTTTATTCCCCCATTCCCCAATACGCACCATCTTCCTTCTTCTCCTCTCTCTCTCTCTTACTTACGAAAGAGAGAAAAAGAGATGCTCGAAAGGAGGAAACCCAACGGCACCTAGCCCACCACTTTCTGTCAACCCATCTTCAGAACGTGCCAACTGGCACTCCCTTCTGCCACGTTGCACCTTTCCCTGTGGCCAATTCCCTTTGACGTGGCACCCACTCACTCCCCTCCCTTTGCCCCCTACATAAATACCCTCTTCCATTTCCCTCCCCTCTCCCGTCTCATCTCTCCAGCACACAAACCATAACTCTTTCCCCTCTCTCTTTTTTCCCCCACACTTTCCCGGGAAACAAGCACAAAAATAATGCCTTCCATCAGCGGTGTGCAAACTACCAATGAAGACTCCTTGGACGCTCCTCCTAATCATCACAAACACAAACCCTCCTCTCGAGACTCCCGTGACCTACCTTCTTTAATGTTGTCTCCTTGTTACCCCATCACTCTCAAGGTAATGGGAACCCCCAGATATTTTTATTTTTCATTTTTCCATTGTGTTATGTTTGTGGGATTACCTGAGTCAACCGGTTTCTGACTTTTTTTTACTGTCTTTGACCATTTTTCTAAAAAAATTTATTCATGTTAATTTCTTCATTCATGCAGTTCATTGATGTTAGCTACCGGGTAAAGATGGAGAATACCGGAAAAGGCAGCATCAAGCGTTTATTTACTCATGGGACCACGACGTCTGATCAAGGATCAACGGCAGCCAAACAGGAAAGAACGATCTTGAACAATATAACCGGCATGGTGTCCCCCGGTGAAATCCTAGCCGTTCTTGGACCTTCTGGTAGTGGGAAATCAACGCTGCTCAGTGTTCTGGCGGGAAGGATGCATGGACACGGGTATACCGGAACGGTTCTTGCGAACAACAGAAGGCCTACTAAACAGACGGCGAAACGCACCGGATTTGTCACTCAGGACGACGTTCTATACCCGCACCTCACCGTCCGGGAAACGCTGGTTTTCTGCTCCCTGCTCCGCCTCCCCAACACGCTGTCGAGGAAAGAGAAGACGTCGGTAGCCGAGTCGGTGATATCGGAATTGGGTTTAACAAAATGCGAGAACACCATAATTGGAAACGGTTTCATCCGCGGCGTGTCCGGCGGTGAAAGGAAGAGGGTGAGCATAGCCCACGAGATGCTGATAAATCCTAGTTTGTTGATTCTCGACGAACCCACGTCTGGTTTGGACGCAACGGCAGCGCACCGGTTGGTTTCCACTTTGGGAAGCTTAGCTCAAAAGGGGAAGACCATCGTGACATCCATGCACCAGCCGTCGAGCCGGGTTTACCAGATGTTTAACTCCGTGCTGGTGTTGAGCGAAGGGAGAAGCTTGTATTTTGGAAAAGGTTGTGAAGCTATGGCTTACTTCGACTCCATCGGTTTCTCGCCGTCTTTTCCCATGAATCCAGCGGATTTCCTCCTTGATCTCGCCAACGGTACGTTATCAGCTTTAAATTCCAATTTTTTCTTTCCTCCTGCTTATACATTTTACTTCATTCGTTCTCGAATGTGAAATTTATTGCTGTATCAACTCGGCTAAGCTCCAACATCGGAGATTTGGTGGATATACAGTTTTTAATAATTAGGATGAACATAGGCTAAGGAGGTCCATAGATCATGGGAGAAGAACGTATATGATTAAGACAAGATCATTCGGGTTACCATGTTGTTGAATTGCTGTCTCTGTTAGACTTCTCCATTTCCGTTTTCTTCCATATGCTACATTGATTCATAATACCCATTTGACCTCTGTTTAACTTCCCAAAGCCTGGGCCATACCCATTTTAAATAAATTATCACAACCTATAGGAATGTGTTCCCCAATAGACCTTTCTAATACATTAATTAATTAACTCCGTCACCACAGCCTTTAGCATTTCCTCAAGAATAATATTAATCCGGATATGAACGATGACTTGTGTTCTATAGGAGTATTGATAACAAACGCGTCTACTGTTGTCTGATGGTTAGCATATTTTGTTTTTTTTTTTTTGTACGAAAAAACACTATTAAGAAGAATTCAACTAATGAGAGATGGAATTCGGGAGGGTGGTGGGAGTGTTGGGCAAACTGGTGGTGATGATGGGTTTACTGAATTAAACAATTGTTGTGTTGTTTGAATATAACTTGAAAAGGGGAGAGTGTATCAATGCTTTTATTTTATTTTATTTTTTTCTTTTATTTAGAAGAAGAAAAATCTTTTTAAGGGAACTACAGTGGATAAAATAGATTAGATACGTAATGGTGTTTCATTCATTTTGGAATCGTGAGTTTTCTGTTGATTTGTTGTAGTGGAAAATGTTAATCAAATAAAGATAATATGCTCTCCCTTTCTAGATGGAACAGGTGTCATTTGGCTGTGGACTTAAGCGATACTCTCTGTTTCTTCCACTTTGTGTATTGTTGATTTTTTTTTTTTTTTGCCTTCTCTTTTAGCCAACCTTCTTTTTTATGGCCCAAATAGATCTTTCTTTTTCCTTAATGATACCCGGAGCACCACACCTTTCTATAGCCTGTGGCCCCTTTAGCCTCCTTTTCTTCAAAGCAAGCTACCAGTTAAATCCATGTTAAGAGCCTCCAATACTTAAAAAATATGCATTTTTTGTGGCCAGCTCTTTCGTCTAGTTATTGGGTTTTTAAAATTTGCAAAATACTTAAAAAATCATTAACAGCATTCTTTATGAATTGTTTCTTTCTTCTGCTTTTCCTGTGGTATCCCAGCTTGGTCAAGCTTGAATGAAATTAACATTATTTTTTGAGTACTTAAAAAAAAAAGGTCATTGAAGTTGGAATTAGCAAGTGACTTCACGATGAATTATTTCCTTGTAACTTTGTTCTAGCTAGAGTACTCAAACATTAGTTTTTTGGGTTTTAGTAGACAATATTGGGAAATCTAGCTGTCAACCAAGTCAGTTCCCTGAGATTTTCGTAGATGTGTCTGGAATAATGGAAATAATTTAAAGATTGTAGCTGGGGATTTGAGAATCATATATGCTATCGTCTATATGTTGTAATAATTGAAGATCAGATCATAGCAGCAATTAATGTCCTGAGGCCCAGACCCCACAGTTATCACCTCTGAAAGGAACCCACCAATACACTTTTATGTATAAAGTAGTAGTACTGTTTTGGCTGTAAGGTAGTAGTAGTACTCTTGACATTGAATTCTCTGGTTGTAGACAATATTATTGGTTGGGTATGTCTCAGTTGGAAGATTTAGGCAGCAACAAGACATGATATGTAGAGATGGCTACGCATGATCATTTGTTCATTATAGGCCATAGATGATGCAATAATTTCACCCCATCAACCCAATTTATGACTGCTAAAAATAACAATAATGAAGAGATCTAGGGGGTATATATTCTTGTCGTTGTACTTTATTCAATGAGTAGCAAGTAGAGGTCATGGTATTTATGCTAGATCTTGGGTGATCTTATGTAGGTCATAGTTATAATTTTAGAATTATCTTTTTCTTTCTCTACCACAAATCAAACTTTAGTAATCCCTTGGATTAACATACGATCTTTAAACTTGCCGTGTAAATTAAATCATATTATGGGTCTGTGGAATTGAAGAAAACCATGTTGTATGTAGGAAACATAAAATAAACTTATCTCAAGCTGGCATTTATGAGTTATGATAACAACCTTAGATTTCTCTGTTGAGTTTTTGTCATGTAATTAAGTAAATCATCTTCTTTAGTAATATTAGGTCAAGAAATTTTAACTTGAGAAGAGGTTTCGGTAAAGAATTTTATTGTTACACGTAAGTTTGGACTGCAATGTTTATACTATATAGTCTTGTTTTACTTTTCAATTTTTTTATTATATTGAACATTAACGTGGGATATGTCATCAATCACCATTCACATTTCCTACACAAATATAATATCTGCCATACTATAGGTGACATGTCGATCCAATCTCTTGGTGTCTCTTTAATTAGGCAAAATCCTAATTAACTTAGGAATTATTGCCTCTCTACTTTTTCCAATTTTAGTATATATATCTGTATATTCTGGGACAACATAATAGATAAGTTGGATCTGTGATAACTGATGATGACGACTTTGATCACGTTAGAAACCATCTTATTTCAATTGGAAAACCACTTCCATGGTAGTGGTGCAATGGCATCACTACCTTCCCCAGTATTTTTGTACATGTGTCAGTAATCACCTTTGTTCAAATCATTTTATTTTATGGTTAATTAACATATTTTTAAAACATTTTGGTTTATCTTTTGGGGCACATTTTGGATACAAGGGAAAACAAGAGAGTTTATGGGACATGGTTACATGTCAAGACTTCAGTCCCATAATTACTAATTTGAAGTCAATTAGTTAGGTAAACTCTAATTAGTTGGGAAGAAGGGATTGAATTTTGCACGTAATCTCCCTTTTGAAAAAAAACTAATAATCACTTAATCAAACCCAAAAATAAAGAAAATACATATTAGTTTGTTATCGATCTTTTGTTAAGCACATGAACCTTTTTTCTTATATATCTTGAGTGATTTCTGACCAAAGTTCCGACTTTAGTATCTCGACATATTACTTATGCCCCACATATATATATAGAAGGGTGGTCATAATTAAATACATGTAAATTGATACGACTAAGATTTTCGAAGTGTTTTCTTTTTCTTTCTAATCCTTAGAATCAATCTTTTTCCTTTTCCCAAATCTTTTAAAAACGAGTTTGGATGTATTCAATAGCACCACGTATTTGGGTGCTTTGCATCTCCTTACATAAAAGGTCATAAAAGTAGGCATCGAGAATTTGGAATTCATAAAAAGAAAAAAAAAAGGAAAACAAAAAGAGAGAAAGAAAGTTTACTCAAATATTTAGGAAGTGCTGGCCCAACCATATGGTGGCAGCAGCACCACCTTCTTGAGTGGACTCCCACCTTACCACCAACATTGGTCAGCTTTAATTGCTTCTTCTGTTGTTATTATAATTGCTTTGTAGTACATGAGTCACTAAGCCCTAGTCTCTAGACTAATCTCCCATATTATTTCTCAATTGCTAAATAATTATTTGTTTCAACCAATAATACAAAGATTATTGATTAATATGTGAGTGTCCTTTGTCCTTAGCTGGTCCGAATAGGTTTATCATCTTACAGGTATCAATTCTATAGTTTTGTTTGGTTGATTTTTCAATGGTTGTTGATCTTTCTTCAACTTATTCTATAGCCATTTTGTGGTGCATATGTCTTTGAGGACCGACCTTTCTTAGCCTTTACCTTTCTTTTGCTCAAAAGGAACCCAAGACCAATTGCCTTGGTCCAAGTGCTCTCTAAGAATATCATAAATACACAAGCATGCCTGGGGAATTGTTTTTGAACCAGAGCTAACTTTATATTATTCTAAGGTTCTAGGGACAAATTTTTAAAAGGTCTGTTTTTTTTTTCTTTGGTTAAAACACGTTGAGTATAATGTTAAGGTAATATTATCCTACTGCAACTTTTTTAATCATTAATGTTCATCATGTATGGGATCATTTTTATTTTCTTTGATTGGTGGATGGGTTGCATAATCTGATAAATAAATATAGTCTTCTTGCATACCTTTTGCTGCCATGACACAAACAGGGAATAAATGTTAAAATGTAGATTATTATCATACAACAATTCTATATCTGGAATATTATAGATAGCATTAATGGTATTATGTATAGATCATGGATAGTTACTGTTAACAACTAGAGTTTAAGTTAGCGTCTGCAGTGTTTTTAGGTTGATCCATTTGGCCCCTCAAGAATAATTAAGGGAAGCTAGTCCTTTTCTCTTCACATTAATAAGTTCCTGCTATTACACTATAGCTTTCTATTTTATGATGTTATTTGAAAACTTTGCTGTTTGGTTTACAATTGTGCTAAAAAAGAATGGCACTTACGAAATTTGTTCTTAAATTATCCAGGTGTTTGCCATCGTGATGGCTCAAGCGAAAGAGAGAAGCCAAATGTGAAACAGTCCCTGGTTGCCTCCTACAATGCATTGTTGGCTCCCCAAGTAAAAGTTGCCTGCATGGATAAAATCCCTGTGTCATCCAAGGACATGCATTTTGTTGGAAGCCATTCTTCTGGAAAAGAACACAGAAATAGATACAACATCCTCAGCCTTTCCATGTGGTTCTATCAATTCGGCATCCTCCTGCAGAGAAGTCTTAAAGAACGAAAGTACGAGTCCTTCAATGCCCTTAGAATCTTTCAAGTGATCATGGCAGCACTCCTAGCTGGTTTATTGTGGTGGCATTCTGATTATCGAGACATTCAGGTAGAACAGAATTACAATCAATTCCATCAGTCTCTATTAATAATATATCTCACAATCAATAAGGGATTTGCGAATTTGCCCGTGATATGGTTCATTCATTCAATCTTTTCATAATTGTTATTCTTTTGTTTATATCAGGATCGTCTTGGCCTCCTCTTCTTTTTTGCTATCTTCTGGGGAGTTCTACCATCCTTCAATGCAGTCTTTGCCTTCCCTCAAGAACGAGCTATCTTCATGAAAGAGCGTGCTTCAGGGATGTACACGCTGTCTTCATATTTCATGGCACGAATAATTGGAGACATGCCTATGGAGCTGATCCTTCCCACAGTTTTCCTCGCTGTGGCATACTGGATGACTGGACTCAAACCTGACCCAGTTACATTCCTCCTCACGCTCCTTGTTCTCCTTGGGTATGTCCTCGTTTCTCAAGGGCTCGGTCTAGCATTAGGCGCAGCAATCATGGATGCCAAACAGGCTTCCACCATAGTCACTATGACCATGCTAGCATTCGTGCTCACTGGAGGATTCTATGTACACAAGGTACCATCCTGTATGGCCTGGATCAAGTACATTTCTACAACATTCTATACATACAGGCTGCTCATCAATGTCCAGTATGGCAGAGGTGAGAAAATTTCAGAACTCTTGGAATGCTCACGCTCCAATAGCAATAGGGCAAGTTGCAAGTTCATTGAGCAAGACATTGAAGGGCAAATAAGCCCTGGGGTGAGTGTTGGTGTCATGATTTTGATGTTGGTAGGATATAGATTATTGGCTTATCTTGCACTAAGGCGCATAAAAGCTTGAGCCTTTTGTTTTAACTGGATAGGGGTTGATGATGCTAATTAACAATATAGTTCTTCTCAATTGTAATTTTCGGAATTAATATTGATAAAAAATGATTGCCAAGTGATATAGCCTTCCCATTGAAGGAGTAAAGGAAGTGTTTACAATTGCACAAGTCAATGTGTAATGTGAAATTGTGAATACCCTTGTGCCAAAATATATACATAAAAGAGAAAAATGGAAATGTTGATTCCTGTACTGCATTAAATTTCAGTCTATTTTGCAGTTGTCTGGGCTTATTTTCTCGCCAACCCAATGGAACAATCTTTTGTACGTAGTCTTACTGTTTTACGCTGTCGCCCAACACCCATCGGCCCAGGTCTTGTTTTATTTTATGGATTATTCAAAGTACATATCTACAGGTCCATAATGATTTGGAAATTTCGAGAAAGTTTCTTCTAGGCATTTAAGGTTAAGTTGTGTTTTATCTTATTTTATTTTATTTTATTTTATTTTTTGTGGTATGTAATGGAAGTTAATTGTTTAAGGTTACAAAAGTTTAAATTCTCACTTTAATCTTAAATTAAAATTTTTTAAATTAGTGGGCATTACTAAATCAAACTCTTGGTGTGTTTATTAGGAGTATTAAGCTATGCTTCTGGTTCTTTATTTATGTGTAAAATTTTAGAAAAAGGGAAAAAGTTAAAAAAGAAAAAAGAAAAGAGAAAGAAACAGAAAACAAACTCCTTGTGAAGAAACTAAAATTTCCTCAAACACAGAAGATATTTAAAAAAAGAAAAAACTCATGACATTGACGGTCCGTTTGGTTTGTGAAAATGACTTTACTTTGAAAAATATTTTTTATGAAAATATTTTTTTTCTAAAGATTATTTTCCGATATTAGAAACACTTTAGAAAACATTTTTTTTTTAAATATTATCAATTGTTTGGTAAGTTATGAAAATTTTTTAATTTTTTAAAACATTAATTAATTAAATATTAAAAATTTAAACTTAACATTAAAAAAATCATACACACCTTTATTATTTTTAAATTATCTACCATATTATTAAAATAAAAATTTAAAGACTAATTTGTTATAGAAAAGTTTTTAATTTTTTCTATTATTTGGTAAGTAATCAAACTTTTTAAATTTTTTGAAGAAAATTGATCAGAGTTTGGTTATTCCTAAAATGCAAACTTTCCTCAAATGATGAATGCAAAAGAATTTTATGGTTAGATGTCCCCACGGTAAATGCTGATTGGGAATAAAAAGTTTCACGACTTCTATTATAGGGGGCAACAATAATGAATATGGAGGAAAACAAAGGGAGTTATTCGCAATGTATATACAAGTCAAAAGACTCGAATTTAACAAAATTTCTCAAACGTGACAAAAGATGAAAATTCGTTGATGGAAACTTCGGGCCTTCTGGCCCACCTGTTTTTGCCGAAATTAACTTCCAGATTTTGGGAAGTTGATCGGCAAAAACCCACCAATTTTGCCTTGTTATCATAAATGGGAAAATTTAGAGGGTTAAAACTCATAAATTATAAAATAAAGGGTAAAATATGTCATATTTAAAAAGTTGAAAGGTAAAAAAAGGTGAGTTTTTATCGAAGTCGATCTGTTAAAAATTTTATTGTAATTTTTTTTATCTTGATTGTATAATAGAAAACAACTATTTCACATCCAATTTGCATGTAATGTGATTTAAATTTAAAATCTCTTACTTTCAACGAAAGAAAATAACTATTGAATTATTTAGATTATTGATAAAAATTTTATTGTAATATATTATATAATAAAAAATATTATTTTTTACTTTATTTCTTTTCATTCATTTTAAAGTTTAAATTTAAAATTTTTAAATTAAAATTTTAAATTTTCAACCACTTTAAACACTCATTTAAAAATCAGTTTTCAAAAAAATTAGTTTTATATTTTTGTTGACTAAAATTATTTTCCGTTAATTTATTTTTTAATAAATTATTTTTTATCAACCAACCGAACCTAGATCGGATGTCAATAATGGCATGATCTGATGGGTTCCATAATCAAGAGACTCGTGAGAAAGAGCAAATCGATTGTACTCTTATCTATTAATAATCCTCAACTGTACTCTTATCTATTAATAATCCAAAATTAGAGTAGACAGAGTATCGCAAAAACAAAGTAGAGAAGGGGTAATAATAAAAGGTAAAATAGTAAAATTCACCCCTTAAAGT